TCTCCAAACAGCTGTGTGAGCTGCTTGGATAGCAGGCTGTTCAAAGCAAGCACAGTATTCTGTGCTGACTCAACAGTGCTCTGGTCCTGGCTAGAGTCTGTGAGGGTTCAAGTTGGTGACATGGTACAAGAGAGCCCTTGACTCAAAGAGCTCCCCAGTATAAATGGACAGAGGGGACAACAGGTTGGAGGAGGAAGCAGGTGCAGGAAGGGGAAGTGACAGGTCCAAGGTCACAGGTAGGGCCGGTGTGAGTACTGTCTCCTAACTCAAACTCCCAGTTGGTGGGAGTTTGAGTTAGGAGCAATGCTGGAGCTGACTTCATAGCAAGGACAAGGCCTCATCTTCTTCCCAGGTCTGTCCTCACTGTTAGGTTAGCCCAGGCTGTCTATGCCAGCACTCACGAGAGCAGTTGCTTTGCGAGGTGATGCACTGGGCAGTGCAGGACTGAAAGAGACTGGCTAGGTCACTGAGTTCCCTCCCCCACTGTTGCAACCACCCTGGAGCTCCCTTCATGCAGGGATCAAGCTCCATCTTGAAACAAGGTGAATTTATACCACTGATGCCACTGCTGATGCCTGTGACCCCGTCTGACATGGTGTCATCTCCTCATGGAAGTTAGCCAGGAGAAGTTTGTGGCATACCCTCTGGTCTATTCTCCTTGCTGGTGCAGTCCCTATTCATGTGTGGCCCATGAACTGCAGGGCGCACTGCCCATGTCTCTTGGTGCTGCAGTGTGACTTGCATATCAGAGAACTGAGGGGCAACTTGTTCATCCTCCCTGAGCAGCAAGACAGGTGGGGGATTGTGGGACATGGAGATAAGCTTCATCTGTACATCAGAGCTGTCACATGAACAGCTCACGCCCTGGGCCTGTCAGTCTGAGACAAGCTTCAGTTTCTTCCTTGGAGTGTTCAAGGGGCTGAATGGGGTTTGTGGGAGTTGAACCAGCCAGGCCTGTGAATCTGTGTGTCTCCCACTTGTTTGCAGCATGGGATTTTTTGGTGTGTGCATTCATGCCTTTGCCTCCCAGACTGCGTTCTACTTTGTAATGATGTGATGCACTTTGATGTATGTGGGCTTTATTTAATTGAATGCATTTAAATTGGAATTCCCTCAGCAAAGAACACTGTGTTGCCGGGTGTGCAGAAGCGCCGTCCGCTGAGACAAGCCGCAGAAAAGATCTTTGGGAAATAAGTGTTTTCGGGTGGCTTTTTATCCTGCATCGCTAAATCAACAGCTTGAGATCTCGTACGTAGCAACAGTATCATGTAAGGGTACGTCTACATAGCCAAACAAGTGTGTGAATGATGTTTAGGTGCCTACTCAGCGTGTCAGTTGCACCAACTCTGACTTCCTTGCTCTTGCGCCCACTTACTGACAGGTAACTGACATGTGCACATGCTCTGTACATCCCCTGCACTTGGCTGAGATGGCCCAGACTGACATGATGCAGATGCCAGAGGAGGCGTGAGTCCCTCTAGCCATCAGGCACTCAGGCTTCTGTCTAAATTCATCTCTCTGAGCCCGAGCAGCAGATCAAGGGGGGTTCATTACACTTGGCCTTGGCCATGATTGTAACAGAGTGAAAGAGCTGCAACACTTACTGGGATAAGTGTTGTCATGCTAGCCTCAGGGTGCTCAAACCTTGAGGGCTGTGCTGGCAGAGGGGTGAAGGCATCTCACCACAGCTCCAGAGGTGTGAGTTTGTGCCATGCTCCAGAGTCGGGCCAAAGACTGCCCTCTTCCCCTCCCCGCCACAGGAAATAGGACCTGGTGGGGTGGGAAGTCAAAAGTGGGCAGATGTGATGCACACTGACCTGCCGCAGGGGTTGAGATCTGTGAGCCAGAGCAGAATGTTTAGCATGAGTTGTTATGTTCTGGCTTTGGCTGTTCACAGCAGGTGGTTACATGAGTAACATGCTATGAAGACATGGCAAGCACTGGTGCCCAGATCTGGCACCCAGGGGGTTTGTATTCTGGTGGCTGAAGCCTGGAGCTTTTCGCTCCTATTGTTACCTGCATGAGCTGGCGTGGATGTCCCCCACCTGTGCTACGCTCAGGCTTCATTTGCCCGGGTGACATAATCTAAGATCCCTTACCAATGGTGGATGGCATGCAGTAGGCTGCACAGTCACAGAAGGAGGAGCAGGCTCTGCCATGGTGACCTTGCAGTCTAATGCAGACAAGAAGCAGGGAGAAGGGGAGCGACACACTCAAGGTCAAGCAGCAAGGTGGTGGCGGAGGGGGACAGGATCCACATTCCCTGATGGCCAGTCCATGGTCTGGTCTTCTCACCCATGCTGCTTGCCTGGTACTCTGATCATCACTCTATGTCAGTGAGAGCCAACCTTTCGGGCAGGCACACCCTCCTTGAGTGTCATTCCTTGCCTGATCTGCTGCTTTGCTGCCTTCTTCCTTCCCTCTCTGCTGCTGTTCTCCCTGCTCCTTCCTGAATCCATTGTGTGCCGCACACACAGAGCCTTCCCATGCCACTTGTGCCACACGTGCTGTGGGGTGGCCACCCCTGCTCTATGTCCAGCTGGGTGCCTACACAGAGGTATTAACCCCCATATGGGAAGTGGATGGCTAAGGCTAAGTGACTTGTCCAAGGTCAGTGAGGAAGGCTGTTCCAAAGCCAGGATTTGATCCAGGCCTCTTCCATCACCCCAGCCACTATATCCCCCCTCATCTGCACAGTCCCTGTCCATGCTCTGTGGAGGCAAGACACGACAGCCCCTCTACACTGTCAGCTGCTGTTGAGCCAGGTGGCAGTGAGGGAAAAGATGAGTCTTAAGAGCAGCTAGCAAAGCGCCCAATTAAGCTGGAGGCATTTGCACATGGTAGAGCAGGTTTGTAGCTATCGTCTCACTCACTGAGTTCAGTAAACAGCTGGGTTTCCCTTCCAGTCGTTGCTGCCCTGGTCTGCATTTGAATCAGTGACCTACAGACCAGAGGCTTGCTGCCCCCCTCCCCCGACTCTAAGGCAGGTCTCTGGCATGCAGAGGTGTGAGGTGCGTGTGTGTGTTGGTGTTATTTCCCTGGTGAATCAGAAAGGCTGTCTGTGCTATTAGTGACGAACATGTCTTTATATAGGGCACTGCATTTTTACCTTTTATTTATAGGAGGGAAGAGAAGCCTTGCGGTTCAGTCATCAGTGCGGAGTCATCAGCGCAGGGAGCTATTTCTGGCTCAGACTTCCTGTGGGACCTTGGGAGAGTCACTTAATCTCCCTGCACCATGAAGCAGGGAGGAGTGGAATCTGGAGTCAGTCTCATGTTCTCCAGGCTCCCTGCAGTGCATCTTTTATACTGACAGGGACCTCTTTACTCTCACCCCCACTCACTGACATGTAACTGATCCCTCCCCTTGGTGCATCCCGTTGCACTTGGCTGAGATGGCCCAGACTGACATGATGCAGATGCTGGAGAAGGTGCAAATCCCTCCAGCTCCCAGGCTCCTGCCTGAATTCAGCGCTCTGAGCCTGAGCAGCAGAACAAAGGGGAATCATTACACTTAGGCCCTGTCTGTGCATGAGAGTGTAACGCTCCCATCTGCAGTGAAAGTGGGATGGCTGGCCCCAGCATCTGTGCACTTGTGCCAGCTTCCAGGGTGCTCATGCCAGCATTAGCTTATTCCTGAATGGGCACAGGAGTGAGCAACACCACTCTGAGGGACCAGGGCAGGTGAGAGGTGGAAAGGCCTGAGGCATCTCACTGCAGCACAGTTTGTGCCTTGCTCCAGATTCATACTCATGGCTGTAAATGGGACCAGGCAGGGTTGGAGAAGTCAAAGATGGACAGATGTGATCCCCGCCTGTGAGCTGTTGGTGACAGGCTGGTGTGTCTTGGCTCTGACAGGCTGCTCAGCTGCAGGGGGAATCCTTGACCTGTCTCTAAGAGCTTTGTGTGTACTGGCCTCAGAGTCAACATATTCCTAAAAGCCAAAATATCCCTTGCCTTCCCTGCATCCTTCCTCCTGGCAAACACAAAGCCTGGATCTAGTTTGGGGATTGGGGGGGGCGGGGGTGGAGTTAAAGTCACATTTGCCTAGCGCCTTAATCCTGTCAAGGGGAAGGTGCTAGACACGGCACAGCTTCCCTCTCCTTCCCCGTGACTTGTGAGGTAATTAGCATCTCTGCTTCTTGCCTTTGTCTCCGAGCTTTTCATGCGTTTGCGGGGGGGGGGGGGGGGGGG